TAAGTTCTTACATGGTAGCGCCATGCTGTAGCTATATTGTGGTTGTTGCATGAATGGGTTGGCTCGACTGGGGTAGGACCACGCTCTCACAGAACACCGAAATAAAATAGCAGCTTAACGCTGCTGTGTTTCATATGGTGAGTGTAGAGAACAGGAGACCCATTTTACTGGAAACAAGGCATTCCATCTTAGTCCTCAGAGCTGGCAATGCATCTGCATTTTGATTCTTAATTGAAGATAAATGTAGATCTCTATGGGCCACAGCATCCACTTACTATCAGGCGGATTGTGTACTCGTTTGTCACCCTTATTCTATAAAAAATGCATAATTTTGATGTAGTGCTCTATCTATTGTGATCGATTGTTTATCTTGTTTTTCTGAGCAAGCAAATTTTTAGTTGATTTTGTAATTTACAATAAGTTTGTGGATGTAAAGAGATGGGAGGAGTTCAATTAATGTAAGGGGAATCTACCAACACATCTTGCACAATGATATTTAAAAAAAATAGACCTAAAATACCCAGATTGGCAATGGGGAGCAAGATTAAATAACAAGCATAAGGACAGATTTACCTTTCAAAACAAAGTATTAATACACATATGTTTACCAAGTGAACTATGTTATAAATGTAAACACTGCTAAAAATCTAATCTTTAATGATGTTAAAATTAACATCACATAGTTTAAGTTCCATACAATCATGTAGATCATTAGTATTGGTTAGATATAGATGGGAATAATCGTAATAATACTTCATTTATCCCAGCACATTGAATCAATTTCGCGAGCCCAATTCAACTGCCCATCTCTGCAATAAGACCATGGCTGATGCTATACAAATATAATTAACATATTGTATCATATTATTACAATAACTTTGTTCCCCATATGAGCACTCTTAATTTACCAATGATTTTTGTTTCATAATTTCTAATTATTACACATATTATAATGAATGACTTACTGTAAGAACATAAATAGATTATGTATGAAACAAAATTAAAGTGTAATGTGAATTTGTCTTTGATCTACACAAGTAGACGCAAACAATCAAAGAATATGTACAACTGTATATAACTGAATAATTACCTTATTTTACATATATTTTTTAATTAAACAAGACATTTAATAATTTATTATTAATTTCTATGTAGCAGCACATGCATAATTAAGAAACCATGAAACAATATATTGAACACAACATTGCAGTCATGACAAAGAGTTACAAATCATTCTTTAGAAGACATATTCATATTTGAGTCTCATGGATGGATACTTAACAAGTTAATGTAAAAAAGATATTTAATTGGCTTAAGAAAAATTATGCTAATGCTACCTCCGTAAGAAACCTTTTGTACCATCTGGTCCTCTTGGAGTTCTAATGACTAGAACACCAGGAGGTGGCGGTGACGGAAAAATTCCAGACGCCGTAGCTCCTGGTGGCAACCGTGCAAGCACTTTACGCTCTTTTCCTTTGGTGTTGCTATCATTGTGACAGTTGGTTTTGGTTTTGACAGTGTTTTGAGCATCACTTATATTGTTTGCTTGGAGTTTTTCTTGCAACCGTGTTAAACTGAAAAAGAAACATGTGTGCCTAAATATACAGCACTCCATCTATCTTCCTGTGTAAGTCTGAGATTAATATTTAACTTTTTTTTATAAAAATACACAGGTTTACTTTTCAGAGTAGCCAAATTTTAAACTTAAGTTCAAATATATAAAAAATTATATACCATTATTGGACTTTTTGAAAATACGAGTAAATAAGGCCTCTACTTTTATTTGCAATTAAATCAAATTGAATGTGATTTATGGGCTACAATGTTTTTCCCTACTGATCAACCTTTATGAATATGTGCATTTGAAATTAAATCCGTTAAAATAATGCATTACCACATTTCAAATTTAAAAGATAAAAAGGACAGAATGTTTGAGATTTAATTAATTAATTTTTCTTCTCTATATTACTTATTCTTTTTTTTTAATTCCATGCTGTTTTTGGTGTTCAATTGTCTTGAATAAATATAAAACTGAGTTGATGAAGTCTTCAAAATTGATGGAATAAATATAGTAAAATGAACTAAATTGATTGAAAACTGACATGATATTGGCAGAATTCTTATTTAGGACAGCCAAAAAATGAGTATAAATGAATTGAATGAATAACAATTTACCTCTCAAGCTACTAATACTGCTAGTATTAAAATAATAGAAATTTTTAAAATATTTCCTCTAGCAATTAGCACTGTGTGGCTTTTGAAATAATTTTAGTTCACCAAATAAATTAAGTAAACAATAACTTATGTTCAGAGTTACAATAAATATAGTTTGTATATTTTTATTACCATTGTTAATACAAAGCAATAATATGAATTTGTATCAACACTGATAAAAAGGAAAATTAAAAGATCAGCAGCAAATGGAATTTACAAATTAAGTAACACTAGTTGACCATAAAAAATACAGGTTATATCTGCTCATACTATAAAAATACATACTTATCGTCAATAACGTCCTCTGGGCTTCGAGCTTCACCTAATATCCGTAAACGGGCTTGTTCGTATTCTTTTTGCCTTTGTTCTAGAGTCTTTACAGGTCGAGCGCGGCTCTCTCCGTTGAGCTGGCCACTCGCCAGAGTTGAAGGTCGTTTCAGGATACGAATAGCTGGCTCCGGCATCATGCACTGAGAACCGATACACGCGTTTTCCTCTACTATTACATTAGTAACCTTGCAACCTTTTAATGTAGTTTTCACAGGGGCTGGAACATTGGACATCAGTTTGATCTTGTTATCCAACTGAAACAAAAAGTTTTCGTGCAAAAAGGTCACTGGTGCCGGCGCCAAGGTAATATGTTTTTAAAGTTTTATTCCTTGAAAACTTACGCCAATATCGTCCATGTCTTCCCAACTTTCACATACGTCAACTTCATCTCGAGCCGCCATGTTGTGTTGACTTGACTGACTGATGACTGACAGTGTGGCCAACTCCTAATTAGAAATTCTCTAACCTCTATGTTAGAAATTCTAGAGCTTAGTAAGACGTAGAGATTATATGTACTCTTTGGAACTTGGGAAAATAAAATAAAACAGCTGCCAAATAAACTAAAACTTGTATAAATAATTTATGTCTGTGGTTCTGTAACAAAAACAAATACCAACCACATAAAGCAACGATATATAATAAGTACTCTGAGAAAGCAACGGTATACAAGCACGGACCGACTGCGGATCGGAGGGTGTATTCATACGCAGGCGTTCCCCTGTATCAAAGTTTAGGTTCATGAAGTTATATGTCTACAACACAGTGGTAAAATTAAAAAAATTGTAAACTGGCTTCAATATAAATAAAATCTTCTCAAAACATCTTGTCAGATCTTGATCAAATTTATATGGAACCACATTAAAAGTAACTTTCAAACAAAAAATTGGTTGATCCTGCAGGCCATTCCTGGAACTTTCACAAAGCGCTTCAAATTTCACCACATTATGATGTTAAATATGAAATATCGCAGTAAATTAAGAAAATCAATTTCTTCAAAATTATTCGTTAACGATATCTCACGAAAGAATCAACCGATTTTGACCGGACGAGCGGTGTTAGACGTGGTTTTTTAAAGGTTAAAAGCCGATTAGTTTTTGGAATCGATCAGTCAAGCCGTTCAAAAGTTATTCCAAAAAACAGTTTTTCAAATTTTTATTTTTGAGTTTTCTCAAAATCTACCGGTCCGAATTAGTTAAAATTCATAGGATAGCTAAGTTTGATGAAAAACTTTGGAAATTCGCTTAGTTAATTTCAATCGGTCAAGACGTTCTAAAGTTATAAAAGTTTTACATACATCCACATCCACACACACACACACACACACACACACACGCACGCACGCACGCACGCACGCACGCATGCACGCACGCACGCACGCACGCACGCACGCACGCACGCACACGCGCACGCGCACGCATACGCACACGCTTGTGCTTTTCTGTATCCGGTAGGTTACATCGTTGATCCTGGTCACAATCCGGTACGGGCCGTCCCATTTAGCTTGAAGCTTAGGAGATTTCCCTTTGCTGCGGACTGGATTGTGCAACCACACTAGTGAACCTTCGTCGAACCCTTTGTTGTTCATTTTTCGGTCATACCGGGTTTTCATCTTTTCCGACATTTGCTGGCCCGATTGTCTGACGTGCTCATAAATGTCATTCATTTTGTTCCGCAAGTCATTTGCATAATCGGTTATACTGCGTGGGGCATCAGGTGGTATCCCGGTGATCAGGACTGGAGGCAGCCGTAATTCTCTTCCAAACTTTGCGAAAGCTGGTGTCACTGATGTAGTTCCTGATGTAGATTGCCTATAACTTTTGCTAGGTACCGCTCCAATGTTTGATTAAATCGTTCTACCATTCCATCAGATTGCGGGTGATAAGAAGTCGTTCTTGTTTTATGAGTACCCATAACTCGGCAAGTTTCCTGGAATATTTGAGAATCAAAATTCCTTCTTTGATCGCTGTGAATCTCTAAAGGTACTCCAAAATGACAGAAGACTTCATGAACTAGTTTATCTGCAACTGTTGAAGCTTCTTGAATTGGAATGGAGAAGACTTCTGGCCACTTATGCCCGGTTTCTGAAGTTCCCAGTTATATTCCCATTAGCTATTGATTCAATAAAGTTATCTATAAGATATCCGTCGGTTAGCTGTCATTGCGTTTCTGAATACCAAACCAACCGTTCAACACCTATGAAGCCAATAACAAGTTCCATAATTTGCCACTAGATGGGTCTGTTTCGATTCATCGAAGACATCGAGTCTAAAATTGTTTTTTTATTTCAATTCTTCATTTATACTTGTATTATTCATAAAATATTCTTTTTTTAGGTTAAATAAGTGAATATGCACTGTTTTAGCAATAAATTAAGATAATTCAATATTTATCAGAGACTCTATAGACGACATCATTGTACTGTCAAATTGTTTAAAAAGAAAACATCATAGTCATACTCATTGCTTTTGTATATAATATATATCAATGGTCAAATAAAAAGCGTTGTTTTTCCCTCGGTTACTGTTATGCATCTTGTATGAGTATCGTGGTTGAATGACGGAAAGATGGCGTAAAATAAATTCCCGTTGCCTTTGCAGATCTTCCATGCCCCAAAAGCTTTCAATAATTTCAAAAAAACAACCAAGATGTGTAGAATCAGCAGTAAGTTCTAAAGAAGTTTGGGGTGTAGAACGTGAAGTTGAAGCTACTGGCTCAATCGAATCATTGCGAGAAATATCTTCTTCGATGCAGGTAGCTCTTGTAGGAAATATGTTATTGTCTACCCTAGACTGAACCACTGCTGTTAAACGTTCATTATTCAATTCATCGTCTGATGAACTCTCGGAATCTGAGGAACTAGATCCATCGCTTGAGCTGCTACTAGATTCTGTTTGCATGGGGGCTATCGGAATAGGTATAGGTGAACTTGTTTGGTTTATGGTGGAAACATCGTTACTGAAATTGTCATATTGTTTTTCATTTAAATCTACTCCACTCAACAAATTTTTAAAAACTTCTCGGTTTTTATTTTTCAAAAGAGACCTCTTTGTAGAACAGGGTGTATCGATATCTACATAGTCAGGATCCTTCACACTATCACCTGAGCAAAAGTCTTCACTAACATTAGATAAATCTTTATTTTCAATATTATCGTTAGGCTTGGGAGATAAAATGGACTGTTCCTTTTCAGTGAATTGTATGGAAGTTGAAGTCGTAGGTATTTCATTCTGTATAACAGATATACTATCTTGTTTGAGATTCCGGATTATTTGTAGGGTACGGGGATTCGGCACTGTAAATAATAAGAACATTTCATAAAATAACGAACCACGCCATACTATGCCATGGCATGTCATGCCAGAACAACATCACAATATAACACACCACACCACACCACTCCATACCACACCATGCCATGCCACACCACACCGTTCAGTCCTATCATACTACACCACAACACAACATAGCATCATGCCTGTAATACCCGAAGCCGGCTATGTTTTTTCTGCTGTTCATCGGCATAATTTCTAACGCCGAGTTGCTAAATTAAGAATGTTCTAAATAAGAAATGACGATTACCCCGTTTGCTGCTTGAACCAGGATTCGAACCCGGGACATCGCGGTTAAATAAGCCACGCAAGAGGCAGCAAAAAATACCAAAACACGTTATAATTACATTATATCGTTAAAAGTAACTTAACTTGCTTTCGGTTCTAAATTGTTTAGCTTTATTTTTAAGCAATAATAACCTATTTCATAAACATGTTAAAAGATTTTGTTGTTTCTATCTTGAAGAAACAAATAAAACTTAATAAGTATTATTGTCTTACTTACTTTTTCGTGAAGAATGTTGTAGCACTAAATGCAGCACTTTTTAACAAAAAAAAAATGATCGAAAACAGTCACAATTTTAACTTAAATAATCAATCAACTCAAAATGAATGAATATTGCAGAAAATATTACTAAACTTTACAATTTAAACACACGATTATTTGGTAATGTGCTATTATTCCCGAAAGTTTTGATGTGGACACGCGAAAACAATAATAGCAACTGGCGATCGTCGACTGTAGCACAAATATGGCGTGATAAATCAACCAATCACATAACGACATTTTTACGCGCCACTAAGTCAATTTTGCCGTTATGAATGTGAGTCTTACTGCCCATAAAATACGGACTATTTTGCAAGTGACTGTGTTATAAACAAGTATTTTCAAGTTTGTGCGGTTATTCGTGCAAAGCAGCGAATATCGTAGACAGAGAACCTAGTCTACGGTATATATACAGCAGTGCTTCCAGATTCACTGTAATTACAGTAGATTTACTGTATTTTAGACTTTTCTACTGTATACTGTAATGATAAAATACAGTGTATGGAATATACTGTATTTAATTTTCATATAGCTTTATCAATTCTAATACGTAAAACAGAACGCAGCTAATCTACACTACCACAGACTAATATGATGCTAATACACTACCTTGCTACAAATTTATTTATCTATGATCTACACCCACTGAACCACAAACTAATAAGAGTGCTAGCGCCATTATCCATAGACAATGTACAGTAAGTTTGTAACAAAGTTGCGGGGAATTCCCTGGCAAATCGGAACTAACGTGGAGCACTCTGGGACGCAACTAGCATAAGTAGGTTCTTGTTACTTGTTTTAACTGTCTTACAAAGGAACATTGTATTTTTCGTCTAATTCATTACACTTAAAGTAGTTTTGCCATTGTACATACATTTTAATTGAGATTTAAACTTTTTAATTGTTTTGGGTGATGTGAAATAAAATTTAAACTAAAAACTTATTCGCTATAATTTTTTCACTGTATTTATTACTGTAAAAATGAGCTCAAGCAGTGAGGAAAGTGATGTGCGTAGCGATGCTGGTCCGTCAAGAGCTAAAAAAGAAATATCGGCAACAATTCCGTGATGAATGGCTTCAATTACAAGACTACCGTAAGTGGTTAAAGCGTGATAAAAAGTCGATTTATAAATGCATTTGCACTGTTTGCGATTCTTCTTTGATTGCCGATCTGGGTGCTATTAAAAGACACAGTGAAGGTGCTAAGCATAAACTTCGTCTTCCTGCCCTATCGCATGTGCGTACCATTGATAATATTTTTAAAAGTCAGCAACGCGCAAGTGATGATGATCAGCGGAAAATTACAGAATTAAAATTATCGGCTTTTATGGCAGAACATAAAATATCGCACATAGTGATGGATCATCTCGTTGATTTACTGCCAAAAGCTTTTCCAGATTCTAAAATCGCAAGTAATATCAAACTTAAACACACTAAATTACAAGCAATAATAAATAACGTTATCGGGGCTTCTGAAGGAGAATGTTTAGTCGAAGATTTAAAACGCGAAAAGTTCTCTATAATGGTAGACGAAAGTACCGATGTTGCCAGTGTGAAAACAATGTGTGTTGTAGTCAAATATTATGATCCTAATTTAGGACGTATCGTCAGTCGATTCTGGGACCTTATTCAAATATTTGATGACAAAAAAGCTGGAACGTCTGGTGATTACTCAGCCACGGCTGAAAAATTATTTAATTCAATAATAAAATCATTTCGAGACAAAAATATACCCTTAGAAAATACTATCGGGTTTGGTTCTGATGGATGTAATATGATGATGGGCTGCCATAATTCAGTGTCCTCACGATTTAGACAACTATGTCCAGGTATTACAGTGATCAAATGCCTTTGCCATTCTTTACATTTGTGCGCTTCCGACGCTTGCAAAGAATTGCCCCACGATGCAGAAAAACTGACTCGAATGATATACAATTACTTCAAAAATAGTAGCAAACGTCAAGCAGAGTTAAAGGAATTTCAAGTATTTACAGACACTAACATACACAAATTGCTACGTCCAGCCCAAACGCGTTGGTTGTCTCTTTCCAGTGTTGTGAACAGAATTATGGAGCAATGGGACGCTTTGCGATTGTACTTTGACGATAAATGGCTGGAAGACCAAGATTGCCAAGCCATTCATATTCTTTTGAATGATCACATCATCAAGGCATATTTTTATTTTTTATGTTGGATGTTGCCAAAGTTTACCCGCGTCAATGTATATTTTCAAAGCGAAGATCCGGTTATTATAGAAGCCCATAACAAAATGAAAGAGCTATACAGAGAACTCTTATCCTTATACATAACTCCGAATCATTTAAAGAACACCCCACTCGACGCAATTGACCCTACTGATAGTCAACATTACATAAATCTGAAAAATATATACCTGGGATTGGGTGTTGCTAATCAAGTTGCTGTCCCAGAGCTACATGTAAGTACCGAAGAAGTTACAGTGATGAAACAGAAATGCCTGAATTTTATCGTTAAAGCATGCGTGGGTATTCGGAAAAGATACAGTTTGAATGACCCAGTTTTGAGCTCAATCGCAAAGTTGGATCCCGATTCTTGCTTATCTGATAATAGACTACAGTCTTTGTCTTCGCTGTTCCCAGTGCTGCCAAGGCTTAAACCCCAAACTTTAAATGATCAACAGACGTTAGATGATGAATGGAGAAATTTAATGTTGACTGCGGATGAACAACATTTGAATACAAATCAACCAGCAGACGTGTTTTGGCATCAGGTAAAATTTTATCACTTAAGAACTTTACGTATAATATTGCACATATGTTTACATTTTACAGATTTGTTTTTTTTTCAGTTGTCTCAAATCAAAGATAGCAACGGAGATAATAAATATCATTTTCTGCCTCGTTTTATGCTCCAAGTTTTATCGTTGCCTCACTCGAACGCTGAGTGCGAACGAAAGTTTAGTGAAATAAATAATATAAAAACAAAGCAGAGAAACTGTTTAGTCACAAATACCATCAAAGGCAACATGCTAGCTCAGCAAGCCATTCGGCGGACTTCCGAAAATTGCGTGAATTTTAATCCAACTAAGGAAATGATTTCAAGGATGACAGCAAAGATTTATGAAAATCATGAGCAAATTGTTCTGGAATAAGTAAATCAATAATAAATGTTTTTTCTTGTATCTAAATATATGTTTTTATTTATTTAATAACTTATAGCAATTTGTATTGATAAAGAGTCATAAAGCAGCTTATTTTTCTATCAATATTTAAACAAAGTGTTTCCTGTAATTTTACTGTAATTGATTTTGAAATCTACTGTATTGTTTTTAGAAACTCCTGTATTTTTTAACTGGCAACACTGTAATTTTACTTTTGGGATCTGGAAGCACTGATATACAGTAATCTATAGCGGTGGGTAGTAGCGGCTTCTTTGAGTAACGAAGCGAATCTATCTATCGAATATCAATAGCGGCTTTTGAAACACTCTATTTTAATAGAGGGTTTGGAAACATTCTATTTTAATAGCGGCTTCAATAGAGTGTTTCACGACGTGTTCAATTGCAAAACGTTGCGACCGTTGTTACCGTTTCGTATAGAATTACACATGGTGTTAATGGTTAAATTTATTTATTTGTTAAATCAGTTCGCACGGTTTGATAAAAATATCACTTCGAAGTACACTGGCATTACTTCGAGACATTTTTGATAACAATCACATAAAGTTTTAGTATTATTTTTACACTTAGTTATTTACACTAATTACTGTACAATTATTATTATCAACACTAATATATACAATGATATTTAGTTTTTATTTTACTAAAAATATTATTATTGTTGCACAAAAAAGGAAACAAACGCGCCTAAAAAAGTAAAAACAAACCGTGTCATTAAACTTAAACAAAAGACTAATGTAAACCGGGCCAAGGCCACTTAAATTATGGTATTTGAACTATTTTTTGTTAAAAACATGTACACTTACTTTCTCATTTCTAATATCGCATCTATACGAAGGAAATAGAGTCATAGGTCAAATGCAAAAGCACACGCGCTCACTCGACTTTCGACAACCGGTGGTACTTCTACCACAGCGTAAAAAGTCGGTTTTTTTACTCATGTGCTTCTACTTCAACAGCCGAAGACGTCGCCGACGCGTCGCGAAAATAGCCGAATAAACGTTTTGTTAGTGATCGCTCGTTCGTGATTCGTGAAACGTGAATCGTGTTACTGAGTAAAACGTCTACTGTAATAGATAGTTTCGTTGCACTGCAATAACCCGCTACTCGCTATTGTGTGAATAGATAGTTTCAGTAACTAGTTACGTTTCGTAACGACCACTCCTAGTAATCTATGCTTTTATCACAGAGTACTTTTTTATATATAGGAAGCTTTTATTTTGCGCGTGGTTTGTTTTTTCTCTTTCCGATTTTAAGTTTAGTGGTTTTATCTCTCTA